AGATGCCTGCAAAGCTTGGATTTGGGCTCAGGAGTTACAGTGTTAGATCTGGTAAATATGGGCCAGTCAATGCCTGACTGAAAGAATGAACCATCACTGTGATCATTCTGAGATAAGACTGTTATGGTCTTGTTGAGGGAATTAGTTGGTGGAAGAAATCTCAGTTGTATTATAGTATGCATATATATATATATATATATATATTCATTCATCATTGAAACTGATGAGAATGAAACATGATGATCCAGTTGTCTGGAATAAGATACAGAAGATACATGTTACTTTTATTTTTATTTTTTTTAAGTGTATGAATGGTCATGGAAACACTGTTTGTTAAAGCATACATGCAGCATTAGCATAGCTCAGATGCAGTGAACATAGTGAACATTGCATCCACAACAGTGTGCCCAAACTGCAGAGGAAACAAACTTTGGTCAAGTGAAGTGAATCAGAAAACTGTGGCAGCTCTCACTGACATGCAGTACATTTATTTACTTGTGAATGCATTAATGACTAACTGTCTCTGCATGTGTATGTGCACTCTGTATCCTGACCAATGAAAAACCATGAGTAGGTATCAAAATGAGACCAGTGAGAAAATGTGAAAGCTTACTTCTCATTCAAAAGTTTTAAGAGAGACTTTTAAGATGAAACAGAAACAGGAATTCATATCTTTTAAATCTTACTTTGTGGTGCACATGAAAGTGTGGGTGTTGAAGAACAGAACAGCAATCATCTGATGAACAGCTGCAATCTATGCTAAGAACCTCACTGAAACCCATATTAAGTTGAAATACTGGAGGCCTTTTTAAACACATAAAAAATCTCTGTGTGCTTTTTTGGATAACTGCTTTATCTGGCAACTTGATCTGTGCATATGATTCAATATTTACCAGTGATCAGCACCAGTGAATTTGTAGTTTGGTAACACATAGGGATGAACCCCATCTAACTGGTATCAATGCAGTAACTGTAGTACCCCTGACTTACACTCTTCTTACAGCATCTGATAGTTTTAAACAGGAGGATTTATTTAAGGATTTATTAAGGATTTATTTAAGACTGGCTCCATTTCCTTTTCCTTTACTTTTAGAATTTTTTTCAAAAAGTATGTAAAGGAAAAGTCGGAGAATGGATATTACTGGAAATACTGGATCCACAGGTTTGTAGTAAAAATCATGCAATAAAATGGAGGGTTTCTTGCTCTACAGGGCTTAATTTTAACTTACTAATAGAAAGATTGCCCTTCAGCAAATACACAAGTAATGTATTTTTGACACTATGTATCCTAAGTAATCCTAAATTGATTTGTCAGCTAACTTTTATCCCTAATTTACAAAACTACTCATTAAAACCTTCAAGACTTCCCTTTCTTCCTATAGATAGCTTCATCACAACATAAATATCAGAGTTTAAAGAGGGAAATCATATTAAATATTCAGCCATTTTCCTTTACCCTTGCAGGAAAAAAGAAACTGTGTTAAAACTGTCAGAAAAATCTCTTCATCCTGCTGCAGTCTTCCATCCTCTCCAGATGGTAAAAAGAACATGATTTTTTTTTTCCTATAATCAGTGAATTTTGAGGAAGCAGTAGAAGACCCTGCTGAATTTCCATTTGCAGTGACTTCTTCTTCCTCATTTCAGTTCTTTCCTCCCTATTTCATTTTATAGCCCAGAAAAAACAATAATTGCTCTCCTACCTACGTTCCTGACGTGATTTTGGTCTTACAGTGGAATCACTGGCTGGCCTGGTGGTATGAGAAGGAGAATTTGGGGGTAGGAGAGATGCATTCATCAAGCAGACTGCTATCTCAAAGAAAGATGCTGCCCTGGGATGTGTGGCCAAATAGAACATGCTGTTGCTGGGTGTGAGTAGGAACCTGGGACTTCTTATTTATCATTTTACCAGACTTCGGAATAACACATTTTCTAGCATTTCCACAGGTCACATGGTATGAGGTTTTAAGTGTAGCCTACAGGTTTTAGAGCAATAAAATTCTTCCTTATTAGAATTTAAATGGCTTTTTTTCTTATTTAAGTAAGAAGGAAGGTTGTTAGTAAGTGCAAACAAGTTAACTTTCAAGCACTGCACTAGACTTCAGCAATTCTTGCATGACATTAAATTTTATGTAGGAGCTGTTCAGCACACTGGGGATTGATAACATTTTGAAGATACCTGTCATGTATGAAAATTAAGAGCAATGCATGTTTGTAGGCTCTGAACACAGGAACTTCTCTGCCATACCTTGCTAGTGAATTTGATACAAAGCCAGAATGTCAGAGTTGTCCACCATGCTGCTCCTGCCTGCTCCAGACTTGTGGTGGAACAGCTGGCAAGTCCCAAGTATTCACTGCTTCTCTGTGACACACCAGCACTCCAAGAAAGCATTCTGCATGACTGGACAACTACCCAGGCTTTCAGGGTGAATATAATTTTTACTACATTTTACTATAGAGTTATGAAGAAATAAGATTGGTACAGCCACAATACCACCACTGTAAGGTACAATGCTATCATCTAGGTATAAAAGTATTCACAACCCCTTCACAGGGATCTGATAAAAAGAAACTCCCAAGAAACTATGATAGAATTTGTAAGACAAAGTTTGTGAATCAAAATGTCTGTCAATGAAATTGAAGAGTCATATGTTTCCTTTTGTGCTGTTCACCATAACTTTAATTCATAACTACAGATCCCTCTCCTTCTGTGCAATTTACCTGTTTGTTAAGACAACAATCACTTTAAATAAATGCTGGCAAGGTTAATTTTTACTGTATGTATAGCTGGTCACTTCTGAAAAGCATTTTTTATATGCTGCATAGGTTAGTACATCCCTTAAAAAAATTTAGTAGTCACATCTGCAGTTTGAATGTTTCTTTCTAAAAGACAAACCCAGGCCAAGCAAGACAAAGAATCTGCTGATACACACATGTCACTCCAAAAATTCTCCTGACAAAGTTCCCACACCCAATTTAATTACTTCCCTACTGTAAAAACACTTTCCATCTGCATTTATTGTAATAGTTTCAAATCCAAAACTAACAGACTATAAAGCTAGCTAAATAAATGAATGATATTGGCCTTAGGTCCCAAGCCAGGAGCTATTCTGTAAGGCTGTGTGTCTCCAGCATTCATTTTTATGCTGATGTTTCATTTTATGCGCAGTGTTTTCACTTAAGCCTTGTTTAGAGAAGAATTACCTTGCTCCAGGCTCTGAAGTGTGATGTGCCACACAGAGCCCTCTAGTGCTGTTCCAGACTGAGTTCTGTAAGAGATTCCCCTCCAAGACCAAAAGTCATATTGTAACCAAAAAAATCCCACTTCAGGCTGTATACACAGCATTGCATATGCTCAGGCTAATTTCAACACTGCTAACTCTCCAACTGAGGCTGCAGAGCTCAAAATGAAAAGTGTTTCTGTTTTAAAATGCACTTCAAAAAATGAAACTACCTGATTGACTATTTGCAACATGGGCTCTCTTGCATGTTCAGGAGAAAAACAAAAAGTATCTTACTCCTCAGACTCAGCATGAATTTAACTACAGAATTTAACTACAGAATTTAACTACTGTAAGAAATTTCCTGATGTGCAAAGATAGTAACAGTACATCGCACTCTGGGTCCTCAGGTTTGTTGCAGTTTGTTTTTAATCACACTTTTATGAAATTACATCAGACTGGAATTCACTGTTTTTAAAGACTGAGATACAATAGTCTCATTTGGGCAATCATGACACTTAAAACTACACACTTGTATATGAGTGTTATGCTAAGTTAGGATTCTCTGTGGTGTCAAAATACTCAGAAAGAATTTGAACTTTATAATAAATTTTAATCCAAAGCAGCAGCACAGCAGATAATTTCTTCATTTAGAAGTTACAAGTACTGAAGGGCAAAACATGTTTCCACTGAAGTCCAGGTCAAAACTGCTACTGACTACACTGAAAGTATACTTGGACAAGAGAACTTTCTTTTCCCTTTTCAGTTCTTAGCAAACTAAATGAAAAAACATATTAATAACAGACATGAGTTAATCAGAGAAATTCAGATGGTGCACAGTGCAGCTCAAGCCACAGATAATGATAACAACTTTGGATATTGCAGGTGACCCTGAGAAGTTCCTGCTGCAATAATTAAGAAACAGTAAGGATGGGTTTGGGGGCCAAACTTTGAATTATTTAACTTTTCTGAGTTTTCAGTGACAACATTAGTGAAATGTCAAGTTTATTTTGTGGCTCTCCCCTCACAATAAAAGCTTCTGAGTTTTTATGACACTGAAATAGTTTTCTATACAGAAGCAAGACAAAGACAAAAAGCACTCACTAAAAATTGAAGACAACTATCCACCAGTTTACTAACCACCAGGAAGATGTGCATCTAAAACAGCTACTACTTCACTAGCTCAAAATGATCCATACACATACATACATGTATGAAACATAGAAGTTAAATCCATTTACCTTTTCCCCATGTACATGAAATTACAAAATACTATGCTGGAAATGAATGTATGGCTTCTTCCCAGCTGACGAACACAGCATGCTTTTCACATGTGAAAACGTAAGTATTTTTGATAAGGGCAAGTTTTCCCAAATAAATAATTAGTTTTTCACACTGGAAATAAACCATATTTTCAATAAACTGCAAGACTCAGTTATGCAGAAAATGGATAACTGAAGAAAATGAGGTCTGATCACACAGGTTTCCCTACACTATTTAATAGTTGGGATTTTTTTTTTTTAATTGAAGGTGACAATTTAATTGAATGTGACAGTTCAGTGTTACGGCATCATCTAAACTCAACAACCCGGACCCTAGGCTGCATCTTTGACTGGGAAAAGGGAAAAAAAAATATTTTCCAGAGTTCCATTACACCCAATCCAACCACTTGTTCTTTGCAAAATGTGACTCTGGGGCTCTGATGCTACAAATCAGCACAGCTCAGCCACGCTCTCCACCACCACGCCACAGCCAGTCGGTGTCAGCTCCCCAGTACCGTACCTGGGATTCTGCGGCTCTGAACCATCGGACTCTGGACACGGCTTCTTTACCTGCAAAAGCAAAGCAGTGCTGGTTACTCTCACTTGAAACACCACTTCCTGTTGCTCCCCGTTCACGCACTTACAGCAGAACTTAAAGCGGGTCCTGCTCTGCTCACCGTGATCTCTATAAAATATTTCCCGCACTTTACAGCAGCGGTTTGCAGTACTAAACAGTGTGTTTCATTATTATCCCATGAACAGCTGCCAACTGCACTTCCCCAGGCTCCATTAGTAGGTAAAATGTTCAGCTAAAATAGCTTGGGGAGTAGCCTTAACCAGGAACAAAGAAACCAAAGAACCAGGTTCCCCACTTTGAAATGAGAAAGCCATACTGTTCTCAGCTTGGCCAAGAAACGTTTCCCAAACTGATACTGCTTCTGTTTCCTGCTAAAGCTCAAAATAATAAACACCAGGTTCTGGGGCAAAGCGCCCCGTTAGTTAAATAATTCATACGGTATTTTTAATTTTGTGAATCTGCTAACTGTATGTTAACTGTGTTTTCCTATTGCATCAATGAACACATGCACTGTTTTCACTCATATTTAAAATATATGAGTACGTCAAAGGAATGTTAGCTTCCAATTTGATCTCCACAATGCTGTAGGCTGATTGGAGGTCATAAAATCCATCACTGTAAAAAAAAATATATATATAAAACTGTTCTCTTGCAGACTTGGTATCTCCTTGGGATCTTCATGATTTCCAGCAAAAAATTTAATTGCACCTTCTGGTAATCTAAATTACTTGCATTTTCAGCAGAGGAAAAAACATTTTACTCACTAGCTTGCTAATGCAAAATCCAGGGCTCTGTGGGAGGTTTCAAAGCTCCAGTTTTAAAGCCACCTAGAAATATCACTCACTGAGGCTCACTTGGAGTGAGACACAATAAAAAATACATTCCCTTTACAACCAGTAAGTTCAACGACGAGTTTCAGGATACCTTGCATCAAGAAACTCTCCTATACTATTTTGTTACCTTAAAAGTATTTCAGAGGAAATAAAATTGTGACTTTGACTCACTTCTATTGAAGTTATTGACAAATGATAAAACACTCACCGGGCCCAACAGAAAAAAAGGATTAGACTAATGCTAAATATTATATATGTATATAAAATCCCTCAGCTGAATGCCATGCAATGTCACTCATAGAGATGAGCCACTCACAGAGCATGAGACACAGTCAGGGCTCACACAAACCCAAACTTGACAGGCACTATTTCATAAACATTCAGGTGCAAACATCATTGCTATAGTTTTATGTTAACCACATTGTTTTTAAAGTAGCGTAACATCTGAAATACAATAAAATGCTTCAGATATATAAGCACATGACCATCTACCATGAAAAATGCCTTTGTGTGCATTATTCAGGAGAGTTTGTCTCAACTAAGTCACAGAGGATTTGACCAAAAAAAAAATAAATTCATTTCACATATAAAACATAATTTAAACTTATTGAAAATGTAACTTAGTTAGAGCTATAAAATACAATAACACATAATTAAATTAAATACACAATTAATTAAATACATAATTAAAATTAGTTAGAAAAATAAGTGTATGTCTACTACCTATACAGTATAAACGGTAGCAGAGCTGCTTTTTCCATGTCCCTTCAGCATATTTTTGCTATCTCCTTGCTCTTAAATTTACTGGCACTCATACATTCCTTTCCAATTTCTTTGCTGTTCTGTGGTTGCCACCAGTAGCACTGTCTGTCACATTTGCACTGGGGCTCAGATCTCACTCCCCAGGTCAGGAAAGTTCAACCACTTTTAACCAGTTGAACCAGCTACTGGAGAGTCTGTCACCCAGACCTCCCAACACCCAGATTTTGCAAAGTGATGGCATGTCCTGTGGTGGGCAACTACTACAGAAGCCCAGAGATAATGCCAGCACACATTAGCATAATCTGAGCACTTTTAATATACAGAATATATTAAGACCTCTGATTTTCCTGGCCAGGGATGTGAGATGCAGTAGTTGGACATTCACAGACGAGTTTTCCTACCATAGCATACACTACTACTGCATTTTGTTTTGACCGGCATTACAAAGCAATCGAAATATCTGAAAGATCATACTTTACCTGTATAAATTAACATTAAACATTAAATTAATATTAAACATTAAAAAAAAAAACACCAACAAAAACCCAACTGATAAATTTTGATAAAAGTTGAAAGGTCACAGAAGAAAAGCCACTGACCAATTGTATCAAAGTGACTCACTTCCTGTGTGATGAAACAAACTTGGAGAGGAAAAAAGTGAGTATTTTTTATTTAAGAATATTGCAATAAAAGCAAAATACTTTAAAATACTTTAAAAAGAATATTTCAGGTTTGCTGGTTGGCATATAGATGATTCAGTTCATCTATGATCATTATCTGAAGAAATGTACAGAAGCACAGAGTATAGATTTGTCTCTTCCTCTGAGACTAAATGTAAACTTTATTGTGTATCTTTAGGGTCCCTTTTTGAGAAAAGAGATTCAATAAATAAAAATGTTATTTCTTAAAGGACAATGGGATGAGGCATGGGATTTTCTTTCAAGTGGCCATATGGAATGAACAACATTTCTCTTTAAGGCTACTCAAGTAGCAAAACAAATTCTGTTATTCATAAAATTATGCCACCCTTGAAGGTGAACAGAAAATCACTGTGAAAACGTATGATCAAAGACTAAATATTGTTTCCTTTGTCTTCAGCTGCACTGTTTTACCTCTTAATCTGCCTTGCTGACTGTTTTCAAAATAATTAACTTTCACTAACACCACATTTATTTACATTCTCATGTGTTAAATGCTATAAAAAGAATCTTTTTCTTTACTCCTGCTCTGTTTTCCTTTTCCCCCTCTCTGTTTACACAGGTTTTCTCACCATTTTAGTTAAATGCATGTTGAGAATCATTCACAAGAGTAAGATTCCAGTTTCAGTTTGAATGCTGTTGAACTGCACTGAACTTTTCTACTCTGGTTGCCTGCTACAAAATGTTTGAAAAGTTTCAGCTAAAAACTTTTAAATACAAATATTTGTGAGAACAGGCTGTTGTGCTCATGTTTTGAATGTCACGTCATTTTGATGCTGATTGGCTTCAGTGCCTGAAAACTGGAGGAAAAATCCCAAAACTGAAAGGGGAGGGGGAGAGTTACCAATACCCAGGAATTATAATTTCTGTGAAATAGTGCCCACATTTATTTCAGTTTGTAGGATTCTAAAAGGCCTGTTGTCACACTGTTGGTGAAGTCCTCTTGCAGTCTGGCTCCTGAATTTCTGAAGACCCTATCTGCATTGAATACTCCTCATCTCAAAAATGCCGGTGCTGAACACACTTTAGGATTACTTCTGAGTGCCAGGAGAACCCCATGCCATCAGGAAATTTGACATTATCAAAATTGTCCTCCCCTTGCTTTGTCAGTTCCGTCTCCCACTACGCAGTACCCGGGGTACAGGGTACCCAGGCAGTACCCTGAAAGAAAAAAACAACTCTGTAGACTCAAATGAAGGGAAGAAAACCAGAAAAAATACAAGGAAAGAGAACAGAAATCAGGGGACAAAAGAAGAATGGGATCTCCACAGCGGCAAAACTAGAGGAGAGCAGAAGCCAAGTGAAAAGAATGTGACAGATGTAGGGGTGTGATGTGGACAGCAGAAGAATATTGGGACTAGCTGAGATGGAACACCACAGTTTGTTCCCCTCTCTTCTAGCTTTGGGACTAACACCACAAACACAAGTCTAAGCTTCATCAGATAGCTGTGAAACTCATTACAAAAGTCATTAGTGACGAGTCTGCCCAGAGCAATGGACTAGTTCTGCTTACTGCAGCTGTACTGAAGACCTAATCCTAAAAGGATCCAAGCTGGGAAACTACACTTTGAACTTAGGAGACTGTGTATAAATGCTACATTTATGTAAAAACACGAAAGTCCCATTTTGCTTAAACTTTTGTTAAAAATAATCATAGTTATATACAATTTTTACCTTCTCCTCTGACTTGGTTCATCAGAATTCAAATATGAACACTGTTCAAAGTGTCTGATAATTTGAGGTCACAGTGAAAAAGAGATACATTTATTAGGTAGCAAAGAAGTGTAATATGATAAATATTTACATGATGAAGGATTTTATATTAATTGAGCTTTGAATGCTTCATATTTAACCAAGACTGAGTGAGGAACATTAAAAGAAAAATCTAACTATGCATTCACTGAAAAAAAAGAGACACCCCTTGGAAAGCCTAGGATGTCAGGTAATAAGATCTGCACCATAATGCGTAAGAGGCTGAATTTCCAGAGGCCATATGAATTCTGGCATTTCCTTGCTTCTGATGTTTTTCTTTGCAACATTAACATCTTTTAACATGATTTTATTGGACCCCATTACACTAAATGTTAAACCATGAAGTGGTCCTGCTCCATGAGGTGTTCTCACACGCACACACTGGTGGTATTAAACTCGTAATGCAACACAGGTGAGAAATCCCTTCTAACACTTACAGCTGAAAAATCTTGCCACATCAGCACTAAATTATTCTGGCAATGAATCTGCTGAGTTCCCTCATCTACTGACCAATTATGGCCTTGAAGATTCCTCTTAAATCAGTAGGGTTGCAACAGGGTTGAGGAGAGCCTGCAATGCTTTGGGCTTGGAGGAAGTAGCTATGCATGGTGGAATTGTGGAGACTCTAACATCAAGGAGAGAAGAATGAAAAGTACTTTTTGCAGACTCAAGGACAACCTCAAAGCACATCTTTGTGCTTGCTCTGCCTGTGTGATTGCTCTGGAGTACGAGCAGAGCAAGTGCACTTCAGCTGCCTGGATGACTCCCTACAGCAAATTACTCTGGAGAAAGCTGACCCATCTCTGCTTGCTGTCCAGGGAAGGGACTATGTATGCACAACAACTCCAGGAGAGGATGGAACAGACAGGTGAACAATTTGATGGAAATATCAGGTAGAAGAAAGAATATGACTCAGGATATTAGTGACACTGCAATGAGAATGAATAG